GAATTGACACTCTGTTTCCTGTGAGAGCATTTAAGAGGAATCTTTCCCAAGAAGCAGATGACCCAGGAAAGGCTGGCAAAGCTGAGCTTCAGGGGGTGCCAAGCCAAGGACCTGATCCTGGTCCCTGCCCAGCTGCTGGCTTCTTTCTCAACTTGCTGTCAGTTTCAAAGGGGTATAAACACTGTAGTGAGGCATAAGGAGAATTCATGGGCATCTCTAATCTGCCATGGTCATAAATTTCATTTTTAATCTCTGAACCATTTGCCACAGTTTTTACTTATATACACATAAGATTATGGTGATCTAAAGTCTATTTTTCTCATGCACATTTTTATACTTTTCCTTATGTGATCTGTGTGACTAGTAATTTTATGTCCAGGTGCAAATCATAAAGAGTTTGGAATAAAAATTTCTATAGAAGAAGAATATTGGATATTGAATATTCATTCACCATAAACAGTGTATTGCTGCTTCACAACAACAATTCTAAGCCATACTTTATTTCTGAACTGGAATTAATACTACAAGTAGAGATTGTTGTTTTTTCTTTGCCCTGCAAAGAAAGGAGAAGGATCATTCTCATACCAGATGATTCCCATCTCCAGTGGGAATACCCAAAAGGTTTCTGTGATCCAGGCTCCATATGTACACAGGGTAGGAAGCATAGAGTACTGGGCTCACATGAAAACAGAAGAATGTTAGTTTTGGGAAGGCTGGAATTGGACTAGAGAACAACAAGAGCCAAGGCTCTGCTCCTGTGAAAGAGACTGTAAAATCCATAAGCAAGCTCCAACTTTCCAAAAATAAGTAAAAGGTTTTTTCAAAATAAGAAATGCTAAAAAATACAAGAACATTCTCTTTGATTGTTTAGAGTGCATTACCTCACGCCCTTATGTACCCATCCCTAAGCACAGTCATAAGGAAGAGAAATATCAGCATCTTTTTTTTATTGTTGCACCTAACCTTTGAGAAAATGAATCGATTATTCACAATGTCATTTAAAAAACCGTACCCTATAGAATGGCAGTGGTAATAGGAGAATACATAAGATACAAGAGAAAAGAATCTTTCCTCCACAACACAGATTTGCTTTTTCACTACCTACTCCATTGACAAGTATACTGGATTACCAGATTTTGGAAACAAAAATGCAAAAAGGAAGTTATCTTGTCATTATAATGTCAGCTCCTGAAGGCAGGGATTATCTTGTTTTGTGAAGTTTTGTGTCTCCAGCATCTAGTTTCATGCCAGAATATAGCAGGCATTCAACACATTTGTTGGATAAATTTTTGAGTATATCTTATGGAGGAAAAAATGTTACCATGATGAAAATATGAACTATTTATCCACGCTTGCCTTCTGGTTCAAGTCCCAAATGTAGGGCCTGGTTTTCCTGATGACCTGGAGAAAATGCCATATTTTATTTAGGGCATCTGATGGTCCTGTTCATACACTTTCCTCCACCCTGAGCATAAGGAATCTCATTCTCTCTCTTTTCCCTGCCAGAGTTCCTGTACTACTATCAAAACTTAGTTCAATGATGACTGACTCAGGGAGGGTTTTGATAATTAGTCATATTTGACACCTTATGCTGCTTTACCCTGGGCAATCCCTATGAGTAATAATAATTGGCATGATGGCAGCATTAGGAAAACTTTATCTAAATTTATTGAGACTTTCTTCTCTTTCCCTCAGTTGTCACTTCTTGTTATGATATCCCACTCTCCACTGCCACTCCTTCCTGGCCTGGTCTTTCATGGGCTCTAAGATTTATTACTGACTTTCCCCAATCCTCTTTCCCCCACTGCTAAAATATCTGCTATATGACAATATCTGCTATATGACAAGATCTAAGGTGGTAAATGACTCATGCTCATGCTGCCTAACTCAAGACATAGCTGATGCCAGCAGACAGAATACTAATCTGATACATGTGACCTCATTTCTAGAAGGAGATCTGCCACTAACCAGTTTTGTGGACCTGGGCTACTCTATCTCCCTGGGCTGCACCTTTTTCATGTATAAAATATGGAATTTTGTCTAGATCAGTGTTTCTATAAATATGCATGTATGTTCTTCTAAACACTGGTTCCAGATATGTTCTAGGATCATATTCACTTGGGAATTGCTACATATCACCTTTTTGAATATCAAAAAGTTAAAGACTCTGACAAGTCTTGAAATAAAGAAACTATTTTTAATCTAATAACTGAGTTTTTAGTGGGGTGGGGGAGCATGTTGGTAGTTCCTTAGAGAACCCTACGAGGAAATCACTAGTTGAACTTTCTGGGGGCTTAACTGTAATTGCACATCCCTTTATCTCCAATGGAAGCTGCTGTGTGTACAGAGAATAGGCCAAGATCTCTGCCTTTTAGGTAAAAGGGTCAAATAGGGGAAAGATACAAATACATGTAGGATAGGATGGCAATTGCAGACTAAAGGTTTCTTTTTTTACATCATAATGGGCATAAGGACTGACAAGCAAGTCAGTCACCTAGAGAAGGGAAGTGGTTGAGGAAGGGAAGTGTGTCACAGGGATGTTTGCAATAATTTACCAAGTAGAGAAGGTGGGAAAGGATATTCCGGGTGGAAGGAACAACGTGGCACAGAGGCATAAAATCCCAAGGTATGTTTTAGGCCTGTGAAATAATTCTGTGGTTAGGGAGCCCAGGAGTGGAGGCTGCCTAGGGAGAGAGGGGAGGGAGAAAGTTCTGGAAGATGGGTGGAGGCTTGCCTGCCATGTGCTTTAATTGCCATTCTAAGGAGTCTGAAATTTATCTTGTTGGTAACAGGAAACCATCCTTGGATTGTTTTTTAATCAGGAGAATTACCTGATCAATAAGAATTTAGAAAGAGAATTCTGGAGTACTAAGGCAGAGAGGAGGGGGAAGAGACTGGCAGGGAAACTAATTATGATTCTGTTGAAACGGCTCAAGTAAGAAATGATAAAGGGCTGAAAAATGACAGCGACAAAAGGATGAGATAGAGGAAACATTCGGTGGAAATTTAGGAGCTCCACAGACCATGATGAGTGATTGGATATGAGGGAAGAAAGAAAGAGGAATACAAAATAACTGTACTGTATTCAGCCTGGGCAATTGTTTTGTGATTATAACATTTACTAGAGTAGGAATTTAAAGGAGTGAACTGTTTCATACGTTTTGAATTGGACTGGGGGGTTCTATTACACACAGCCATTTTCCTGTAAAATGACATCCATTGATTTTTGTGTTTCACAGTTCAAGGATGATTTAACTAAAGACTATAAAATATTCTTTTTAAGGAATTTCAGCATCCACCAAAAAATCTATTCCAAACTGAAATTTAGCAAGGACTCAATAGATTCTTGTCAACAAAGCAGCATTTAAATCTGTAAATTTCTTCTGATTTTGCCTCTAAATGATAAATAATCATTTCTGCGACTATAAATCCTTTTGTTTTTTCATTCAATCTAAAACTCTTCTTTCAGCCCATGGATTATTCTCTATGTACTAATATGTTAGTATAGACGTTTGTGAAATATTTCCATTTCCTAGGAGGAAACAGCACAGAACACTGACAATTTTAGTGATGATTTAAATATCAAGCCATTATTTTTGGAACAAATCCTAAATTTAGCCTTAATATTAAATATTATTCCTGATAATGCATTAAAAATACATTGTGTCTACAGTCAGGGAGAGAGTTTTTTTTTCAAAAACATCTTTGTATGCCAGTGAAAATCAGAAAAATATTTTTCTTTTGGAGGAAGTCCATGTTTGCTTATTGTACAGAATTTAAGAAAGATTTCAGAGACTTATTTTCCCAACAACCCTTTGAAATAAAAAGCTTCTTATATTTACGGGGAGAAGAATTCCCTTTGAGAGGCAGGATATGGAAACTAGCATGACCCAGGTTGTTTACACAAAACAGTCCACACCTTCCTGATTAAGTCAGGGAATTTTGCCTTTACCTGGGACAGCTGCCTTCTATTAGCACTGGAAACAAATTGTACACTCTCTGGTCACTGATCCATGACCATCTTCCTATTTTGAATTTTTTGCCCAGGAGGACCCAGAATCCAGAAACTGAGTTGGTGGAGAGGAGCTGCTGTTCCTAGACACGATTTATCAGAGGAGGGAAAGTACAGGGTCCACCTTAAAAGCAAATCAAGCTATCAAAATGACTACACATCATAAAATGAACACAATAGGAGAACACACAGTCAGAGATTGACTGCTGAGAATTTTTTTCCTTTTACATCATAAAGAAATAAAGATAAAAACTGAATGGTCTCGTCATATCAAGATAAGCAAGGCTGCCTCTCCCTCTGCTCTTCCTGCAACTGTGGTGCATTTCAGGCAGCTCCGGAATTGTTTTGAAACAAATTCAGAAGTTTTAGAAGGCAGGTACATGTAATGATTGTTTCACTGTTCTGAGGTTAATGACAAAATGTTACAATGTTTGAGCCTTGAGATATTGCAGATTTCTAAATACATTTTATTGCATTTGGAAGAGATTTTGTATTCTTGAGAAAGTGCAATGCAAAAATGAGTTGAGACACAATGGCCTCAGAGCAAACCAGACTTATTCCCCTTAGTGGAAATAGAGGGCAGGGAAGTCAGGCTGTGGTTCCTGAAATTCGCCAACCTAATATCGCTGTGCCATTCTCTCCTCTGATCCAGCGCCACCCCCTGCACTTGATATCTGTTTACTTTAGAGGAGGCGGTTTTTGAGAAAGGATCATAAATATCCTGGCCCAGTGCCCCAGGAGCCATGACAAGCAAAAGAACATACTCGCCTGGAGATAGGCTTTGTGATATTTAAATGTGTGGGTTAATTTTTTATCCACTGTAATAACTGGTTTTTTTTTTTTTTTCCCCTCTCTACTTCTTTGCTATTTCTGCTCTGAAGCCGTGAGCACAGAAATCTCTGCAGGCAAATTACTCCAGAGCATATTGCAGGACAACCATAACGAACAGTTGAATTCACAGCATCTGGATTCCTGATCCTTTTCCGAAATGGCAGGTGTGAGTGGCTGTATAAAATATTCTATGTTTATCTTCAACTTCTTGTTCTGGGTGAGTGTTTTTCTTTAAATTATCAATTTTATGCAAGAAAGAGGATCTTGATATAAATATCATAAACAAGAACAGACTCTGCACCAGAGAAATAAGAGAAGGAGGGAAATATATTTTCCATTTACTTGTTTGGATTTGTTTGTTCTTTCTTTGGTTATTTCAGTAATTGAAAATGAGCCAATGACTCAAAAAAGTACACTTCAGAATCTGGGAGGATAAACATTTCATAAATGTTTTGGTATTGCTGCAAAAACAATCACAGAGGAAAACATACCCCTTAATTAAAGAACGATTATTCTTAGTTGTATATAGAGCAGGCCTCCCTGGCCTAAGGACCCTGTGGGAGAAACATGGTCTGATTCCACCCAGAGCCCAGGCCCTGGTTCCTGTCCTTCACATCTGGGTTTGAAACAGGTTAATCTCAGGGTGTGAGATGATAAAGACATGGGAAGAGGATCATTTTCAAAGCCACAACTAAAAAACCATGAGTCATGAAAAACTTGAGGAGGAAACAATAAAATTACTTGATCATAAGAAGATTAAACTAAGCCAGTGGATATGTATTAGCATTTTAAAGTCAGTATTTCAATGTGTCATCACCCCACCTTTTAATCAACGGGGTTTGTATTTTAGCAAGTTGTTGTATTTCTCTTGAAAGTCCACTGACACAGACATAATCAACAAATTGATAGGTAACATCTAGCATTGGAAAATGGAAAAACAAGGCGTGAAAAGGGCAGTGTGGAATGTTGGGAAATTGACTTTATCATTTTTCATATATATGGTGCAATTAAAGACTGTTTAAAAGTATATCAGTAGCAATAGCTCAAAACACTTAAATAAAACAAAGTATTTTGCATACTGGATTTAAAAAATTGCTTATGCAGTACAAGGAAGAAAGAACTCTGGTTTTGTGTTTGTACCTGGTTGCCTTTGTAAACAGAAAACTGGTAAAATATCTATGGTTCAGTAAATTTCTGTTCTAGTAAAATAATGATGGACTTAAAAACTGCATGAATACAGTTTTATTGTATAGAATGACTTTCCATTCAATAGTCAGTAGCCCTAATGAATGCAGATAATATGCGGGTGAATTAACTAAGGCAGTGGATATACAAATAAATAAAATAAAATAAAGAGTTGTTCTTCGTACTTTACTTTTCCCTAGAAAAATGGGCTGCTTTTGCAAATATTAAATGAAGCTCATGCATATAGGCCAGTGTTTTAAGTTAGTCCTGATAAATTTCTTCTCTTGAAATATTTAAATTGATTAAACATCTTGAGTAGAATATAAAGAAAGAAATGCCGCGTTCTTTGGTTTGGTTTTATTTCTAGCTTTACATTAGGGAGTACTTCAGACATTCACAAAAGAACACAGAATAGGGTAATCAACCCCAGCAACCAGCCCCAACAGCCACAAAAACATGGCCAGTCTTTCTCCTTCCAGACCTTCATTCCCTTCCTCCACCCCACATTGCTTTGAAGCACATCCCAGATATATCATTTCATTGTAAAGATTTTAGTATATATCTCTGGAAGATAATAATTCTTTTATAATATGTGACCACAATATCATTATCACACTTAAAAACTTAAGAATGTCTTAATCAATTATCAAACATCCACCTCGGGTTCAAATTTCAAGTTACCTCATAAAGGTTCCTGGTTGAATCAGGATCCAAATAAGGTCCACATATTGGAATTGATTAACATACCTTTTATGTCAATTTTAGTCTGTAGTTTGTCCCTCCATCTCCATTTCTTTGTCTCCCATTAAAATTTTACGTACTGGTGTGTACCGTTTATCTTATCACATTTCCTGAGGTCTGGATTTTGCTATTTGCACACCCAGGATATAGTTTAACATGTTCCCCTGTCCTCTTTATTATCTGTAAGTTAGTAGTTGCATCTGGCAGCTTTATAACATTCAGGGTTTTGTTTTTTTTGGCACAACTACTTCTTAAGTGGTATTTTACTCTTTAATCAGGGGGCACATGATGTCTGATTGTGTCACTATTTGTGATGTTAGTAGCCATTGATGCTTAAGTACCTATATCCATTATTCATTATTTCATTAAGAGGTTCAAATTGGTGAATTCTATCAACTTTTCTTCATTTATTAGCTGGAATACTTTCAATAAGGAAAAATTTCTCATTTACTGTTCAGTTGCCATGGTACCTAGTTTTTATTTTTTAAAAAGTAGTATAAATACTTCTTTCTTACTCTTTACTAACCTGATTTCAAAATGATCAGTTAACTTTCTAGTGTTATCCAACAATGATAGACTAGTATTTAAATACCATTATGAAATGCTAGATAAACTCCATTACAATTTTACCTTTATTGCTTTGCAATTTATTCCATCTTTGGCTAGTAGGAGCTTCTTTAATTTGGTGCCTGAGTCCTTTTGACATGATCCTACTAAGTTTGATAAACCCTTGACTATTTGGTATGACAAGATGTTTCAGGCTCACTTGCCTATTTCCTGCCCAGACCTGGAATCAGCTATTTCTCCAAGAAGTCCTGATACCCTGTCTTTAAAGAACTGTAGCCATTGTCGTCTTTATATGATGTAGAAGATATATGGCCCATTTAAACAAACTAAAATATTAAGGTGTTAATAAATTCATGGCTCCTATTTTATTAAGATGTCCCCAAATACCCAAACCAATAGCAATCTTCAAATTATGAAGTTAAAAATATTTCTTTCTTATATAAAAACATCATGGAAAGTGCTAGTAGCTATTTGTGAATACATTGGAGATCAGTGTTTCATTAACTAGCTAATCAGGAATTTGTAACAGAACTGAATTTTAAACCAAAATGATAAAGACAGTCTAGGTTATAGATTCAGGATTATATATTTAAGATTAGGGTTCAAGGCAGGTTGTAGAGGTCTGTACCATCCTGTACCCAGAAATTATCACTGCTTTCCTGGGAAGCTCTGATTATTTTACTGTTACTGTTATCTGTTTGTTTCTCTGATAACCCAGATGTCAGTTAGACATTTCTAACTTCCCTCAGGGATTCCTCCCATCAGCATATGTGTTGAGATCTACAATCTCTATATAAGAGATCTTGAAATGGAGTTTCAGGGAGAGCAATAGCTGTAAAGATCAGTGATGAATTAGCCAACAGGTGACATCAATATTTTTTTTTATACTGATATCCAGGATAATTTATTCCACTTGTAAATCAGCCCATAAATATGACTGCATATAATTTTCAAACATTTGGCCTTTGTAATTATCATTTTTTTTATTTCAGCATATTATGGGGGTACAGATGTTTAGGTTACGTATGTCACCCTTACCCCCCTCCCCCCAAGTCAGAGCTTCAAGCATGTCCATCCCCCAGATGGTGCGCATTGCACTCGTTATGTATGCATCAAAATCTAGGCAAGAGGAGTCTGTGGGGTTAGGAAATACACCTATTTCTACTCTCCCATCTACCCCCAACCTAGAGCTCTCTGTTGGAATTTTACGATCCTTCATAGGAAATTAGCAATTTGTCACATTTCTAATGTTTACTTAAGCAAAAATTTTTACAGTCCCACTGATGTGGTTTTCTTGTAGATGTCCAAGGCCATATATGTTTTCAAATGCATTCTTTTTGGGGTAACTTGTGAAACTAAGCCTTTGCAAAGTAGGGCCAGATGTTGAAATATTTCTAAGATATGCATATGGTCATTTAATCTAAACATACCAGTTTCTTTTGGGAAACTTGAAGATATGCCACATAAATATGCAGTGATTTCCATTTGTTTGAAATACTAATTGAAGAAAAACATGTAAAAGTGAAAATCATTCCTAATCACTCATGCTAGAGTTTGATGCAAGTTAGAAAATTGGAGGTGCTGTAAATAATAGATACATTATAGGTACAGAACCTATTTCCCTGAGTCTTGAGTCAAAAACAGATGAATTCTCCTTTTTTTATGCTCCTCTCTGGTAGATCACGACTGGGAGTATTGTAGATGCTTAGAGTATCTTAGGGGTCTGAGTAAGCATGGAACAGTGGATGCAGAAAATGGTGACCAGAGACAGAGAGCTGCGGAGGGGCTAGCTCTTAAGGAGGGAAAGCAAAGTGAGGTACATTACCAATCCCAAAGGTGAGAAGAAAGCACCAAATTATAAATCCAAATGTATCAGTAACTGAAGAAAGCCAGTGCATGAGGAGGTTTGAAAAAAGTAGAAGAAAGTCAGAATTTGGAGAAAGTCCGGGAACCAGCATTTCAGTGTTTGTCATTGTGTTTTACGTGTTGTCTGGGCCTCTAGATTGGATGTGCTGAAAGCAATTAGAAGATTGGAGGCAAAGCCAGTCTGAGATAGGAGTACATTAAAAAGAACAGGACACAGTTAGATTCTATTTTGTCAGTTGATGAAATCCCCCCAAGATAAAGAGTTAACAATGGCTGAAATGTATGAACTTTGTAAATACAGTGGTTGCCTGCCACTGTGCAATCATGATAGAATTATAACAGTGACAAAAGGCAGTAGAGCCCCACGGTTAATAGCTCAGGCTGGATATTAGCTCCTTCATCACTACCTGGGCTTGCTTGGGATAATTAGCTAACCTCTTTGTGCTTTCTTAGCCCTTATCTGTAAAAATGGGGATGGTAGTAGTATCTACTTCATGGGGTTGTTGTGATGATTAAATGAGTTAATATACATAAAGAACTCAGAATGACACAAAATAGATGTTTAAGAAAAAGACATTTCAACCAACATTGTGCAGGTAGTTTTATGAGACAGAAATATGAAACTATTCTGCATAGTAATGAATAAATTTCAATGTTGGATTTTAAACAGAGGAGAAAATAAGATGGCAAGAACAATGATAAGGCAGAAATTCTCCTTTCATAAATTAAAAGAATGAGGAAAAAAAAAGTAGATTTTGTAAATGGACACTGAGATTTAAATCCTGAATCTTATCCCTTATTGCTTTGTGACCTGGAACATGTTCCTTGCCTTTTCTGTCCTCCAGTCTCTGCACTTGT